GTTCTGCTCTACATTCACGAAGAGAAATCCGTGGAATGTGCAGTGGGAATTCCCCCTTCCATATTTGGCAGTTTTCTGCCTGCATTTGAATGATACTCGGCAGATCCGCAGGGATTTTCTTTGCATGTGCCACAACGTAGAGAACCTTATCTACGCGTAGAAATCTGGGCCCAAAACACGCGAAGCCGTAGACTGTGTGTGCTCTTTTTTAGCGTTCTAGCATTTTTGTCTCTGACGAAACTTTTTTGTGCTAAAATAAGTGGTTCAGTCCTCGAAAGAAAAAAATTGACTGTCACCACCAGGAATCGAACCAGGGACTCTTGCTTGTAGCCAGCGATGCTCTAACCACTGAGCTATGGTGTGCATCTGTCATCCCAGCAGAGACCGTTCAACCCCTCACGGTCACCCCTTATGCTATTTAGTTCTTTCTAATTCGATCCTGCTGGGCCAGCACACTCAATCATTCGTACTAATAAGGCAATATGATTCCCTTCCCTGCCCCCCCCCCCCATCACAACACACAATGGTATGCTTACCTCTTTCCTTTCCGTGTCCAGAGACGCCAGGTGTTCAACGGCTTTGTCCACGAGCTCGTGAACCTGCTGCACAGCGGGCGTGCACTTTCGGGACTCTGCCCCGTGGGTACGGCGCTTCCGCTGGGCACAAGGTGCACGAGATCCAGCGGCGGCGGCGGGGTCGAACGCGTCAGGGCCGCCTGCTGATCGATGGCTCTGGTCAGCATTGGGTGGCGGCAGTGCATGAGCAATGCTTGCACTCAGGCTGGACGGCAAACTACCACCCAGGTCTTGACTAGGGTAGGAGTCTCCAGCACGACTGGTACGAGTCCTACCATAGCCCTGCGGAAAAAAAGGAGAAAAAATGGCAAACCAATGACATTTTAATTGGCTGGCGTCGGGCAGATGGAAACACCGTGGTAGGAGCACTGTCGTCGTTTATAGAGTACTAGGCAGAACTGATGGTGTTCAGACTGACTTTGTTGCGCAGCTGCCGCAATGCTAAAGCTCATGAAACATCACTGCCAGGTAAGGCACAGCCCGGTATGTGCACAAGGTCACACGCTCACACAGGCCGCTGTACGAGGTGATGTGGCTTTTTTTTAACATTCGGCATTTTTTAACAAATGTGTAAAATTTGCTTTTCTTCTGGCTGTTTCTCTGCTCCGGATAGCTGTATCGAAACATGGGTGGTGGCAAAAGAGAGCCAGTTTATCGTAGATCAACATTGACCAGAAAATTTGGTGCATATAATTTAATTCTCCCTGCCACGTCGGTATAAATAGTGGTGGGTGCTTTGCCATTTTGTGTAAAATGTGTAAAGCCCCTGAATGGACGAGGGGGGCAGTGAATTGCTTCCGCAGGGCCTTTGGACGAGGTCAGGCCGTCTTGCCATCACCAAAGACAATAATGAAGAACAGTAGGTAACGGAATACACTCTGTGAGAATGAAAACATAGCTGCGATGCTATGCTACCTATCCAATTCTACCGTATGACACAGCCACTAGTTACAAATTCGAAAACACAGCTTTCGCAGCATACAATGCAGTTGACAGATTAATTTCCATCCACTAGCCATCCTTGAAGTTGAAGTGATATCTATCAACTTCAGAACATTGATGACCGTATATCTCAGTTTGTGATGCCATTTTACACATTTGTTAAATAATGACACACCAATGATTTGAATCTTGAGAATACTATGAAAGTAGGGCACGATTCAAGACACTTTCCAAAGTGGGATCATTCCCATTTTTTGACACAACGGGCATGAAGGATAGCATTTCCTCCTGCAACAATTCATTTGGACGTAGCTTGCCTAGAAGTGGCTGAAAAAACGTCATTTTACAACCATGTTAAAAAAAGCCAAACCACCTCGTAGTGCTGCAAAACTCAACTTCATCGTACCGGTAAACAGAATACTAGTACCTCAGTCGCTTAGCTGCAGCACTTCTGTGCACGCTCAATTTGCATTCAAATGGCCTAGGCTGTTTAAAACTGTCGTTTGTAACGATACTCTGTTGATAGAGACTACAGAGTATGCCTCTCGGGCCTCGATTGGTTCAGCATGCATGCAAGTTGTGCTTCGTGCTAGCTATTGGTCTGATTTTCTTGACCATTGTCGTGTTGTCTATTGTTGGCTGTCCCTTTCCCATCTCCATTCAGCATATGCAAATCTGTGAGCATTTATCATTTGGAAAAGGCTGACATCGACGCGGAAATGCGATTAATAATAATAATAGGCCAATCCAAGTGGACAACTGGACATCAAAGCTCAAGGCATAAGAGCAAGAGCAGAGGCGATGGTAGCGACAATGATGATCGCACCATCACTACCACCGAAAGCAGCAGTAGCATAGACTTGCTTACCCGTTGTCTCCGGGCCTCAGACTTTCCAGAAATGTTACGCGGTGCAGACGCCGTGGTGGAATTGGGATGGCGACCGGCCCGTTTCGCCTGCGCTTGAACCGGCACTGGTGCACTCGCTGGGCCTTTCTGGGAAGGTACGTGAGCTGCTGTAGGCATATGATGCTCATGGCCAGTGGCTGAGAAGGCGGGTGGTACTGCCACAGGAGAGATGGGCGATGGGAGCGCGGCCGACTGGCGGCCATTCACACCGGACTCGTAGAGGAAGAGAAACCCATTGTTATAGGGGGCTGCGGGCTGGCTGACGTCATGGCCACTGGTGGAGTTCGACATACCCCAAGGGGACGCTGAATAGGGTGCATCCGTAGAGCTGGGGGTCTGAGAAAACGAGTGACCAAAGTCAAGCACTCCAGGCCACGATGAAGCTAACGTTGATGGGCTGGAGAGGACAATACAGGAGACAGAAGTCAAAGTTTACTATCAGGTTTCTTTCTGTATGCCAACAGCTACACACAGATCGATCCCCAGGAGCACCCCGTGTCACAGGCAATGTACCAAAAAGCATTTTGTTTAGCTGCATCTGGCAGTTTCATGTCAGAAAGAGTACATAACCAAGAGTGTGTAACTCCTATCTTGAGCTGCGATGGGTTCACCCACGGCGGAATTTTTTTATTGCGTCACTCTTTGGCAGAATGTATTGTGTATGCTTTCCTCATTTACTGAGCCAATAAATATATTTAAAATAGAAGAAATCACATGGAAACGAGTTATGAAGCAACTATCTACGACTGTAAAGTGTTATCGCACTTTCTGACTGCTTATTATCTAGTTGCAGTCGTGGATAGTTGCTTCATAACTCGTTTCCATGTGATTTCTTCAATGCTTTCCTGCCCTTGTTTTGCAGATACAGTGAGAGTTCATCAGGTTTAGGACACATCGATGTATCGTCCGTTGTTCTGCTTCGACTACCGTAACTGTAATGTACAGCTTATTTGTACTTTGATCTCTGGCTACGCATGATGGCATCAGTGAGCCAAACCGCAGCAAAAGAATGTCATAAAAAAATTCCGCTGTGGGCTGGGGGATCGTCGAGCACCAATTTATCAGTATGATCTAACCGGCTAGTATCTGGTTAACCCAGTTAACAGAGACACTGAATAGCTTGTCACTTGCTTCTCCTCTTTCCATTTAAAAATGTTTTGGCCAGGCGAGGGAAAACAGGCACGATCATTACTAGTTATTATCAACAGTGCATAAACAAGAGTATTGAACTGTGGTTATGGGTCTGTGCGCGGTGCGCTGCCTTCATTACGTAACTATTACTTGCCTCCATCACGCTCTGAAAGCATGTACTCAAACCCACAATTTCTCGTATGATCACATCCGTTTTTGCTCGATTCGCTCCAGTACCTACGTGATCTCTAAACTTTGGCGCGTGAACCCCAGTTCCGTACGAAAGTCCATTTCAAACCAGAGGGAAAGTGTGGTGTTTGATTTTCCGCAGTGCGCAGGCTGCAGCCGAATGATGTAATGAAGGCAGCGCGCCGCGCATCTGGCCCATAGAAAAGATACCAGGGTCGCATACTAGTACTCTTGTTTACGGACTCTTGTTATTATGCATAGAATTTTGAATAGGGCATCCCCACTCATCATGTGATCATCCTGATGCCAAAAGCACATAGCCTGCACTCCTGATGGTATACTTGTACACGATAAAGCTACCAACCTTGGCAGGCCATGATCGGACGAGTCCGGTGAAACGCTATCGTCCTCCTCTTGGGAAGACGACGCAGCAGCAGCATCGCCAATGGTAGCAATAGAATCGTCATCGAGCAACTTCGACACTAAATGCAAAGCTACGTGCGGAGTTTCTGCCGCTTCATCGCAGGATGTCTCATCAGAGGTGCGAGTATAGGCACTGAATAGTCTGGACGTTGGTCGACCACTTCCATTGCAGCAGCTATTCACCGAATCACAAGTGACTTGGGATGAACGAACAGCAGCACTTTGACGGGTCGCTGCAGAGGCTGTGTCTGTTCCAGCTCTCTCGTTCCAATCAAAGATCCCGAGAGAAGCCATGCCATCATCCAAGTTGCTCCCAACCTACGTTAGGAAAGCACAGAAATTTGCCAGGTTTAATCAAAGGCTTTTTAGGTACGATTATACATACACAAAGTCACAAAGTCAAGATCAATTCCATTGCAAGAATTAGAATAAAAGCTGATCACCAAAAATTGAGTGCTCACAGTTGATTTGGCATGCAACTGCGACGATTTCACCTGGAAGCCACCTCCTGGAAAAGACCTGCTCCCTCCAAATCCATACTGCAGGGCATAGTCCAACAAGCAAAATGAAAAGCCAAATCTCTAATGACAATTGCAGGAAACCACAATAAATTACAAATCAACTAAAGTACAAACCTGATTGCCGGGCCGGATACCCAGCTCTCCCCCTCTGTCACCGATACAGTAATCTACCATTACGGAAATTGGGGCTCAGTAGGTCCATGCACAAGGCTTTAGAACAGCAGAGAAGCTGCAACATCAAAACAAGCTCTGCTTCCTTCACCAATAGCTACTTCTCTTCTTGCTGACAGCTGTTCGAGATTTGAGGGAAATGAATTTTTTTGGCAAGATAACGAAAACCCACACTGACGAGTGACGACGTCGACGCGACCAGTGCAGTGAGTCTTTTCAGTCAGCTTGATTGGTCACACACATATTGCGGATATCCCCAGGCGAAGCGCCAGCACCGAAAAAGAGCCCTAAAAGTTGCACTTTTATTTTCCAAATCCGACCCCAGGCCCGGGAAATTTGAAACTCAGCTCAATATCGCCAAAAGAGACTATTTTTATCCCTTGCTCACAAGAGCTTCCCTGGTGGTATCGTCTTGTTCCGAGGCAATGTTTGGGAAGGTGCGGGCATTAGCTGCCCTCAGTTTCGCGGAAAGCTCCAAGCGACATCATTTTCCTCGCTTTCTCGCCAGAGTTTTCAAGACCGACGCAACTCGTCGTCAAAAAGTACTCAGCGTGGATTTCGTGCCGAATTCCGCCCCAAACAATTTAGGCTGACCTCTCGCCACCAATCGAACCCACTGATATGTATCTACCTATACACGAGCAATGGTTTGAGCCCAAAGAAGGACAACTTCACAACGAGCATACTTTCTGAGGGTAATATTTTCTACGTATATCAGTATTAGAACACCATCAAGACGACAATTTGACCAGCAGAAAGACATAAAGTTGCACTACAAATACAGCAGCTGTATAAACATAAATAATTGAACAGAAAACTATGTAACTGGATCCCACCAAAAACAGTAAAGCATCCCAAATAGTATGCGCATACACATATACATGAAGGAAGGCTATGTTGCCACCATACACTGGCTACGCACACGGACATAATTCTGGAGAGCTGAGCATCAGCGTGCGCACACCCCCACACACACACACATCTGCATGCACGCGCGCACACCCACACATGCGCATGCACACGCGCGCGCGCACACACACACCCACATATACACATGCACGCGCGCACACACACCTGCCCTGTGCTGTCGAGCCACTGCCACAAGGGTTGCGTGGGCCTCGAAGGCACCGGAGAGAGAATAGGAGAACGCAGTCCCATAGATACACACACACGCGCACACACAAACACACACACACACACACACACACACACATGTACACAACACGTGCAAGTACACACGTGGCAGCTTACTACAAGAGAATCACACACGTTCACATGTGGGCATGAACTGTATTCACAGTTGGTCATACTGTCTTGGGCATATGAGGGAGGAGCAGGAGAGTGAGTACGTGACTCAGACACAATGCGCTTCGACATGCTAGCACATGCACCGGTTTCGGACAGTGGCAGAACGTGACGGAGAGAGAGAGAGAGAGAGAGAGAGAGAGAGAGAGAGAGAGAGAGAGAGAGAGAGAGAGAGAGAGAGCACCAGCGTTCCAGCTCAAGCTCCAATTTCTAGTTGCTTCTCCTGGTCACAGGAAACACAGAACAGGGCTCAGGCAGTGCCGAGGAAGTGCTTGTACTTGGTGCAGTGTCGTGAGCAGGATAAACTTCCAACATCTCTACACAGTGTAGCTCTTCAGGCGCACACGAAGACTCAGAAACCGGAATATACTTTACATGATGATTGAAAGTCCAGCAGCACAACAAAACTTCCAAGGACTGGTTTGGCACTAGCTTCCGTCTCATTGGCGTGTGCCCAGCCAGTTTTGGAAAGAAAGAGTAGACGTTCATTCCTCCTTCAACCTGCAATGAACTGGAGACAACACAAACCAACAAGACGACGATGGTTGTCATCAGCTCATGTGTTCACCACCGCAGTGCTACCATTCACTTTCCTGCTCCAAATGCACTACCAGGCTGCATGGTACTACTGTCGTGGACATGGAAATCAGGTCGCACGGATAGCGGCCCCAGGGCGCTGGCCATGTAGCCGTAGCACGGTTTATCATGCGCTGCTGATGGTCGCATTGGATCAACATGTGCACTGCATGCAACGTTCTGTACGCGCTGAGGGCGCCGGCCCCGGTCAATCGACTGGATTTCCATGTCCGCGACAGTACGATGTGTCGATAATAGACCGTGATTTGCATTTTCCAATGATTAGGACTGGTATTATTTCTATTATTCACACTTAGAAAGAAAACAAGGGGCAAGCTTTGATATGGATTATGTGGTTGTTGGCTATGTCACCATTTGAAAGAGGGTTGCAACCGTGATAGCACTGTAATATGAGTTTAAACCTACGTATTGCATGGTATACTCAACAGTTGGTGAGCAGAGAATTTCGTGCCGAATTCCGCCCCAAGGTTGTGCACAGCAAACAACTTGATATATCATTAGCCCTACCCTTGTGCTATACGTACCCGTTGTGCCGATCGAGCCTGAGCCCTCTACTCGACTCCACGGTCCAATGACATTCGGTCATCATGGCCAAATTCAAGTCACTCAAGTGTTGAGAAGTGTCTACGTCGTCGCACACGGCATGTGTCGACATACAAAAATATGTATACGATAGAGAAAGAACTACTGAAGAGCAACCAACTGGTTTCAGCATTCTCCTTCAAAGGATAGGTCGGTGGCAGAGGACCAAAGCCGGACAATAGTTGGAAATTCTCAGCGTTGAATTTCTACAGGCTGTAGATACCTGGAAAAGCTCGATTTCCCGCCACGGAAAATAAAAAAGTCTTGATTTGGGGTGCTGGCGCTTCGCCTGTCCCCTGGATAGATCAGTGCAGGGAGTAGTACAATCCCTGTAGTAGCGAGGTTTTGCATTCCGAAATTCGGCAAAAAGATTCGGCACGCGGGAGCGAGGTCGAAAATGCACACGAAGATTCGGCGTGTTTGTTCGGAAAAAGCTCACTTTGTCGAAAATATTTTTCGGATGCATTTTCTTGTAGAAGAGCGCTAGCGCATGATTTATTCAAAGAGGTTTCTTATCTCGGCATCGCTTGGCAGGCGTCTTTGGCGACATAGCATCGTCAACTACCTCTGATTGCTCCTCTCCACTGCCTGTCTACTCTCTTTCGCCTGGAGTGTCCTCACCGTCATCTGTGTGGCTGAAAAGACTATGGCGACACGCATAAAATTTGACTTGACCATGGAGTTGGTTTTTCTGAGGCGACTGAGGAGGCAGGTTTGGCCCTCGACTCTTTGGGCGATCAAAGTTCGTAGGAATCAGCAAGAAAAGGAGCACGGGACAGGACGTTGCTGATGCTGGGGCTCACGAAATGAAAACACATCATTTTCGACTTGCAAAACAAACGTTGGTGCGAAAATTCGGCATTTTGATGTTCGACAAATGACCGAAGAACGCTGTACCGAAATTCGGAATGCAAAACCTCACTAGTACTATAGTAGCTCGACTTGTCAGGGGTTCTAGGGCTGATAATCCCCTGACCCAGGGGATTATTCTTCATAATCCCCTAGGTGAGGGGAAAGAGCCCAAGACTTTGGACTGCTCTCACTATACCTAGCGAGAGTAGGCCAAAGCAAGCTAGCCAAACAAACCCCAAAGAGCCAGCCTGGAAGCTGCTGTGTGAAATCTCAATCAAATGACTTTATTATAGGAAGGTAATTGAACAAGTGGACATATTTACAAAACTCTCACATGAGCACCGGTGCACCGTGAATATGTTTTTTGTATTAGATGAACATGGATGTGACATGTGAACGTGCAATTACAGCTGCTCATGAATAATTGGCAACAAAGTACATGACTGTATGTCTGCAACGTCAACGACAACGTTGCCATGGAAACTGAACAACAAATGAAAGCAATTACACTGTATTGTATCGTAAATAGGTTTACTATGGAACCTAAACAAGAGAAATGTTGTTCTTTGTATTTGAATTCGCAAGAAATCCAACACGCACGCATCTCGATCTCAACAACAATGTTGCCATGGAAACTGAACACTGGTCATACCGCCCATCACTGCATCAGGCATCACCCTCGGCCTCCCTCCCTCCCCCTCAAAAATTAATTGGCTGAGAAATTCAAAGAGAAAAACACACAGATCAGGACTTACAAGAGTACACAACATGTGGGGCCTGAACTCCCACCAGAACAAGAAGAAATCCATAAAAGCAGGCTGAGGCAATGTAAAGAGAAAAAAAGATCAGGTATTGTTTTTTTCATTTGTCGTGTTTTGTTCCTGTGTCATGTTTCCTTGCTTTGCAAGCTTGCCTTTCCTTTTTTTGTTGAGCTTGAAAAAGTACTACTGAGTACTGTACTCCCTGCTTACAACTGAAAAAAGTGTGAAAGCCAACAACTAGCTGTGTACCGTGCACGTGATGGCTGCGCAGACCCCTGACAAGTCGAGCTATATACAGATAGTGCACGGATTGGTCCTCGGAAGAATATTTTTCATAATCCCCGCGGCGCTGCGCGCCTTGGGGATTATGAAAAATATTCTCCTCGGATCCGTGCACTATCCTATACCTACTCCCTGGATCAGTGACAGTGGACAATACTCAATAGGTGTAGTGGATGTGCAGCAGTCGGTCTGGCTAGCGCCTCGATCTACTCAGCTTGGGATGGCAGTCTTGTAGATCTACGAGTGCAGTCTGCGAATGCGATGTACATGTATTACATGTATCATCAGGGAGTGACTACAATTGTAGTGTATTATCAAGGGTATATACCCCCCCCCCCCCCCGGGGTTATACTTATAACATACTCTTGGTACTATTACATGTATACTACTCCCTGATTATCATGAACGGGTACATACCCCAGCCAGGCCCAGGCCCGCGCCCGGGTAACTGTGTTACTTGAACTCTTGTTGTTATCATGTCCCATGATCGGATCGGATCGTATGAGTGAGTGGCTCGGATTGGCCAAAGACCTGGGAGGGCTTTCCTGAAGAAACTGAGAAAGAGGAGGCTGTGCAAGTCTGCATGCCAAGTATCACCTTACAGTCACACTGGTACAGTAGAGCATTGTTTTGTGACATACTCAGTAATAGGCGGACATACTAGTACCCGGTTCCCGCAGGCATGCCATAGAAACCCGTCGCATGCGGCACCCCAGCGGGCCCAGGGTAAGACAAGAGGGGATATTACTATACAATCATACT